AGAACTTAGTACTACCTTAAAGTGATAATATTTTAGGTTACAATTTTTAGTAGACATCATAAAAAGGCAGATGGAGCCAAGAACTTAATCACTCTAGATCTTTTAAGGTTATTTATGAACTGATAAAGGATTTTTTTTCTCACAATGAGATCACTAGGTCCCACCTCAAAAAAGCCTATCTCATCAAAACTGGACTGCAGTATTGACCTCGCCCCAGCAGAATCAAAAACCGGTTCGTAAATGTCGAGGCGGCGTTACCACTCAACTCCAGGGCCATAGGGGCTAATGAATTTCATAGAAGATGTAACATTCAAGGCAAAACAAGCCTTTTCGACCCAAATTTTTATAGTGGGATAGTCAATTAAGCAAAAATGTGTTGTCATTGCAATAAACGAGGCTACTTAATTCCCATTTGAGTAGCCTTCGGGCCTATCATTATTTCTTTAATAAGAACTTAGTGGGGAACATATGAAGAAAAACTGGGTTTCGAAGAATGCCTTAGTGATATATTGTGACACGACTTTCCATTTCGAAGGAAAAGTTTGTTGGAAGGAGCAGGAATCCATACTTTACGAAATGCAACAAAAATATACTAAACTAAGAGAAAAGATGGCCCGCTGTAACCCTAATCGCTTTTTTATGCATTTAACTTCGCGATCTTAATGAGGTAATTTGTTTCAGTATATGTTTGCTCTATTTTGTGAGGTATATATTCCTGCTCTCATGATGTCTGTCACGGCGGTACAGACGAAAGCTTAGCACAGTTTCTTCAGCGTCGACGGGATGGTAACCAAGGCCTTCTTCGCACAATTCAACAGCTTTCCTTACGCGGCAATCCTCATTCGGTTTCCGATAAGACGACATTACAAATTCCTTTTCCTTTGAAATGGAAAATCATGTCACAATTAGTTGGGAATATTGTGCGAAAAAACTCAACTATCAGTCCTTGAATCACCCTAGGCGACCTAGGAGGATTAGGTTCTTATTCAATAATTACTCATAGTCTGGAAAGCTAACCATATGAAAATTGGGTCAGACCAAGAGTGGATCACGATGTGCGTTTTTTGGACGCATAAATAGAGTTTATGTCGCCTAACTTCTAGACTTTTCGTTATGGGAAATGGAGTGGATGGCTAAGTTTGACAATTATTCGTTTTACTATGACTGTACATAGATTGACTGCGTGGTGCGATACAAAAGGAAACGACTCCGTTGAGTTGGTGGAAAGCTTCGAAATGTATCCTGAATCCTTAGGTCATAATGTTTTTCTCCTAAACGTCATTTTGAGGAAAATTCTAGGCATTACCTTTATCGACATGGAAAAAGGAGCAACTCGCCTTGTTACAATTGTAGAGGACTCGAGTACGAAGAATATGCTGTATTTGCTTCCATTTTATCATCAGCCCACTTCGAAAAGTTACTTTTCTGAACTACTACTATCCAAATGTGGTTAGGAGCTTGCCCCTCTCTAATCTAGCTATCACGAGCTTTAGTCATCTCTAAATGACAACTTACGGGCTTCGGCCTGTTGCCTAGGCACAGAGGGCTGGTCAGCTCCTGAACAATTCTGGCGCTTCGAAACATTCTCATTCAGTGCCATCGCCTGGCTTGACTTTTTTCTCTGTGCGAATCCACTTCCAAACGTATGCTCATTCCTGCTCAGGCCTGGTTCGAACTCCGTCCGGACGTGTTGTTCATCCGAACCTAATTGACAACGGGGATGGCACCGTGACTGCTCAGTTCCAGCCCAGCGAGCCTGGCCTTCATGACCTCGAGGTCACCTACAACGGCCAACCGATCCCTGGCAGCCCGTTCCGCTTCTACGTCGAGGCGCTCGGCTCCGGCCGGGTCACGGCTTATGGGCCCGGCCTGTCGTACGGACGTTCTGGAGAGATGGCCGAGTTCACATTGGTTACTCGAGACGCGGGCGCAGGTACGTGGTTTACTGGCACAGTCTTGGGCCCTGATGGTCTAGGGAAGTAGGAAAAAGATGCACTTGGAGGCCCTGAAAGAGCACGTTAACACACTTGCCTTGGTGTGCTCCCAGATAGTAGCACATTTAAAATAAATCACTGAAAATTCACTATTCAAGCGTAATAACTTATCAATTTTTTTGAATTTCAACTTCAGTTTTTGTCTTTACTCACATATTTTCCCACCTCTTTATGTGGAGAAGCGCATAGAAAGCCTACTTAAGCATGTGGTGGCTATTGTTTACATCATTTATGATCTAATTAACTTTGGACCTGGGCCTTCAAGGAAATTGCTTACGCACTACTTGAAGATCTGGTGAACTTGGTCTCGGCCAAATTGCATTTATAGTTGCTTAAGTCGATACCTCAATGAAGATATACAGTAAGCTATTAAGAAGTTGTTTAACCCCGTTTTCGCAACTTTGTCGTGCTGTTAGGATGAGCTAGATGAATGCTTCTCGTCCAAAGTCCTTTGCTATAGTAGTCATGCTAACTTCCAACATCAAACCGTGGAATTGGTTTATTCGTCTTTGAAATTGAGCTATTAAATTTGACATTTTCCCCCGTAGCAACCTGATTGTTTCAAGCATTTCATGTAAGCTTTTTTAAAACTTATTTCTCAGAACATTAGCGTTCTTTCGGATATCTTACTGGTCTATGTTTATTGTCAGCCTAGTTTGATCTAGCTCAGCTTACAATATGGACTTGAGACTGATTACTATCGGCCTTATATTGCTTTACTGAACCTCTCTATGCTTCATTTCATACATATTTTTGTGTAAAAATTAATTAGTTATACCGCAGCTCTTTCCGGTATTGCCCAAAACTTCGATTAAAACTCAGGCAAATGCCCTGATAAACTCTTATCTCACTGAAGTTATCGCCACTTAATCATCTTGAGATTGTGGTGGTAGGAATACTTTCCGATAATACAGGCTATATGCCAACTCTATCAATCAGAAATTCTTGTTTATCTCAGTAACAATTAAAATATAAACATTTTCAGTTCCCTCTTTACATTCTACGATATTTGGTACGAATTCTTCCTTTCTAACTCGTTCTTGTCCACTCCGTATTGCTTTGTACTTTGTCTCCCGAGTAGACGGCTCGAGTTGTCAAATCCCCCTCGATCCATTCAGTTTAATAACTGAATTTAAGGTCTTGGTCAGCATCACCAATTCAGAGGGGATTACGCCTGAAGAGATGACCTCAGCATTACCTTGCCCCACCTACAAAGACCTTTGGACGGACCGCCTATCTGAGCCTACCGCAAGGCATCCAAAGTTTCAACGGGTGTTTTCCGAGGCCTTCGCTCCAATCATGCCACAGGCGACTCCTCTATACTCCCCAAGTATTAAGGAAGAATGTTGGTTTTTGGGGATCGAATATAACAGGATTATATGCTTATTCCTGCATGTGCTCACACACCTTGCAATATTGAAGATCACACAAACGCCCGTCCAGGGAAGCAACCCGAATAAAGCTTATCTCTCTGGAGGAAGCCCTCCAGTCTAAAAAGTAGCCTTTTTTTTGAGTCAGGCTATCCCTTGGGCGAGCGTTCATGTCACCATGACCGTACTGTTGCACTTATATTGCTGTTGTTAGCACCGACACTAACATTTTTTATCAAAAGTTTTTGCGGTGTATTAACATTTTCATGTTAACTGGATGTCACGAATATTATATTTATTCTATTCAATTTATAATGGGAGAAAGGTTTTTAGTCACATTATCTTTATGCTTTTTTTTTATCTTGCTTTACTTCTTATTTCCTGGTTTGGCCATCTATACCCTTATTGAAAACTTTTACGTCTTGCCTTGAGTTACCTTCCTCAACTCATAATAACTATAATTATTTGCCCCAATTTTCTAAAAGGTGGGCTCTCATTGGCCGTTGAGGGTCCTTCGAAAGCCGACATCCAATGTCACGACAATCGCAACGGCACTTGTAGTGTCTCCTACCTTCCAGTTGCCCCGGGTGACTATATCATATCTATCAAGTTCATGGAACAGCATATTCCGGGATCACCCTTCTCAGCTCATATTGCCGGTGAGATTATTTGAGTAGCATAATAATTAGCATTGATGATATTTTATTATAAATTGTTTAATCTGACTTTCGATAATCGCCGGTTTGAACTTTCTTCCACCCCGAGTTGATCTTTATATGTTGACCTAGTAATTATATTTCACTTTAGTTGATAAAGATCAGACCTTTTTTTAAGTCACACCAGATCT